GGGCGGGGCCTTTCGCGGAGGGAAGGTGCCTGCCAGGGAGGGGAGGAGGCGGCTCTGGTGGAGGAGGGGAGGGACCGGCCGGGGAGTGGGTAGGGCCTGCGGAGGAGGGGAGGGGCGTGGCCTTCGGGGGCCGGCCGGGCAGGGGCGGGGCCGGGCCGAGCCGAGTTGTACCCTAGCCCGGTCTTCCCGGGTCAGGTAGACGTGCTGTTTGTCCGTCCTTGATTTGTTTTTGTTTTTGTGCGTTCGCACTCATTTATTTTTAAAAATCGTGAAAAATGTAGTGACAAATTTAGCAAGGCTATGGAAATGATGAGCTGGGTGCAGCTTTGGATGTACCTATCCTGAACAGGCTTTCTCTTCAAGCAGCCGCAGCAGCTTTTTGTGTGAATAAAAGAGAAGAGACATAATGTCTAAGGGACATAACTAAAATTTAAGGAATATAAATCAAAATGGCCCGGGGTGGTAATATGCAGAGACCCAGGCCTCGGGATGCAGTTCTAGTGGGAGAAACAGACAACGCAGAAGCAGACAAATAAATAAAATGGGTGAATGGGCATAGAGGAGAGCTGAGAGCGGGGTGGCTACATCAGACAGCTGGTCGCAGAGGGTGCAAGAGTCTAGGCCAGCAACAAGAGGGAAGAGTCCCAAGACCATCCTCATTTCTGACACCAACTGCAAGTTCTGGAGGTCCCCAAAACCACCCAAGGGCAATAATCCGCAAGAAGGACTCACAGAATGCACTGAAAACTCTAATACAGACGGTCCCTGACACACGATGGTTCGATTTACAATTTTTTGACTTTAGGATGCTGTGAAAGTGATACACATTCAGTAGAAATCATGCTTGGAATTTTGAATCTTGATCTTTTCCTGGGCTATCGATATGCGGTACAATATTCTCTCAAGATGCTGGGCAGCTGCAGCTCCAGTCAGTCACATGATCATGAGGGTAAACGACCGATACAACCATTCTGTCCCCATACAGCCACACTGTTTTCCACTTTCAGTACAATATTCAATAAATTACATGACATATTCAACATTTTATTATAAAATAGGCTTTGTGTTAGATGATTTTACCCAACTATAGGCTGACGTAAGTGTTCTGAGCTCCTTTAAGGTAGGCTAGGCTAAGCTATGATGCTCAGTAAATTAGGAGTATTAAATGCATTTTCGACTTAGAATATTTTCAATTTACAATGGGTTGATTGGGACGTTAACACCGTCTTAAGTCGAGGAAGATCTGTACTCACAGGGTTTATCACAGGGAAAGGATACAGATTAAAGTCAGCAAAGGGAAGAGTCTGGGGGAGGACCAATATGTGGCTTCTGTTGTCTTCTCCTTGTGCAGTCAGGAAGCATTACTTTCACAGCACTGATATGTGGCAATACACACGAAGTATTGCCAGCCAGGGAAGTTCACCTGAGCCACTGCATTCTGAGTTTTTATTGAGGTTCATTGCACAGGCATGGCTGATTGCCCTTGTTGTTGATCTAAGTCTCCAGGTTGGATGGGACCCTCTCATGGTTGCCATCTGACTAGCCCAAGGCCTCCAGGCAAACAAAGATTACCTTCCAGGCTAGAGAGAAAAGGACAGACTTCTCTTCGGACAAAATTAAATTCTTTTCTACGTCCTTGAAGAGGCGGCTCTTGAGCTATGATTTGAGTTGAAGAAGGCAGCCATGAGAAATCTACTTGAGAACAGTCTAGAAAAAGCAGGGAGCTTTGGACTTGGTTCTAGACGTGATTTGATTCTTGGTTCTTGGCAGAGAAGCAGGGGAAACAGAGAGACCAGACAGACCAGGAGACCAAAGACAGGGACTTGCACTTGGGTGGACTACAGCCATACTAGTCTCTTAATTTATGACTTTGACATGTTTTTCACAATTTAAATCAAAATCAGTATTTGACGGATGTAGGTTGAACAAAAATTCTCCATTTTGACTAAGCTACAAAAGAGTTGTTGGGGGTTGGGGGGTAATTGTACAGAGCTCGTCTGAGGATGGAGTTGATAAAAAGGAAGTAAAATTGAAAGCAATACACCCGGGAACTTCCTGAACCAATGAATTCCCTTTTTGGTTTTCACTCAGAATGAAGAAGCCCTGAAACATTGCCACAAGAATTAAAATAGGCAACGGTACAGATTCGGAGGTGGGCTACTTCTGAAATGTAAGGTCCAAGGAAACAGAGGCTTTGGTTGGTTTTGTTTGTAATTGGGTCTCTGAACCCTACAAAGTTTCTGGCACATTGTAGGCACTCAGAACATATTTGTAGAATGAAAGAATAAATGTCCAGACCTGGTTTCGAACCTCAGTTCTGCTATTTACCGTCTGTGTAACTTTGGACAGAAGTTAACCTCTCTAAGCCTCAGTTGCCCTGCCTATAGAGTGATGGCAATAAGGCCTTCAAGTTGAAGGGCTGTGACTTTCCCATGTCGACCCCACTGTGCCTCCAGAGACCGTGATTCACAGTACGCATTTGCCCTCTTAATTGCAAATGCTAAATACGAATCATGAATGTTTAATCAATCTATGCTTACTATTCTTATAAATAATTAACATGCAAAAAAAAATCATCTAAACCAGACGTGAAATTTGTTGCAAGTTTTGAAAACGGATTAAAAAGTTATATCTGGTTAGTAACAGCAAAAAAGAGCAAAAACGTTTCCTTGGGAGAAAAAAAATCAGTAACATAAAATTAACAGCCTAAAAATGCATATTGCAAAATTTACTCTTACTTTAAAAATTGATGAAAGCATCAAATCTTAGAAACATTAGATGTGCAAATGAAGTCTGGAGGAATTGCAGTGGATAAAAATAATTCACACACACCTCTCTGCACACAGTCACATCACACACACCAACACCCTCCAATGCCAGAAGCTGTAACGAATAAATATTTTATGTTGATGAACAGATCAGTGTGTACAATCTTGGCAGTGAAACGGACATGGGAAAGAACTGATTCCTCTCTCAGCTATGTTTCTGTAGTGACGGGGGACCTGATCCAGGCACTCAGACGGCCACGGGCACTCGTCCGCGCTGGCCTCAGGCTCTGCCCCAGGCCAGCTTCAGTACTAGAGGGAAGAAAGACAGAGCCTCATCGCAGGTGCAACCAGATTCCCGAACTTCACTCTGATTGGATCGACTCCGGCCATTTCTGCCCAGCCAATCACAGGTCAAGGAACCACGCGGCTGTGATAGGTCAAACCCGGTCATGCGACCATCCCAGGCCCGGAAGTGCCTGGCCGGATTACAAGACTTGCAAGCAAGGGTGGAGGGAGGGTGGGTACCATGTGGGAAACGAACGTACTGACACCTAGAAGACGACGAAGGGATTCTGGGTGGCTAAACAACCACCTCATGCCACCTCTATGCCAGTGACAATGAGCTCATAGCAAAGAAATGAAAAAGGAACACACTGGGATCTTTTCATTGTGCTGTGCAGAACACTAATTAGGGCATTAAATTACCCTAACAAAGTTTCCTCTGAAAATACTTTCTTAATGAAAACTTAATTGATGTCAGTTTAATTCTGATTAAACGTATTTGGTCATAAATGTTCCCTGGATCCTGAATATAGTACCTAAATGTCCAATCTCTGTGGTGTCTCACTCAGAGAAATGGAGTTCCACAGTCAAAAGCAGTTAAAGTTACTCCTATCGTTATTAAAGTTTCCCAAATTTTAGTATTATGATCCACAGGATCACTCTTAAAATCCTCTTTCTACAGTTTTCTAGTGTTCCGTATGTCTTATACTGTTACCGAACCTGAAGTGAGTTGGCTCACCCGTTGCGCAGCAAGCCAATCTCTGACACCGGGTGTGGTGGAAGAAAGTAGGAATTTTACTTTTGCACAGCGCTGAGCAAGGAGAGAGGGCAGCTAACGCTCAAATCCCAAACTCCCCGAAAAGCTAAAAGGAAGGGTTTTTATTTGGGGTTTTAGGTAGGGGAGGGGGAGCATATGGCCTTGCTGGTCGGAGCTTTCCCACCAGCCTGTGTTTGGCCGTGAGACACTGCAGAGAGGAGGGAGCTCATGACCTTGCTGGTCAGCAGCTTTCCCACCAGCCCATATCTCTTTGCGGGAGGAGATAGTCCAGGTGCTTGTCCTTGACGGTGTCTGTCTCCATGGAGGATGGTGGATTCTGGAGCCAGGAAGCCAGAGAGTAAGCAGGGAATGGGTGTTTTGCTTTTAACCCCATATATGCTGGGTTTAATGTGGGGAAACTGATATCAGGGTTGATATCAATACCCTATAGCTCCCCAAATACCCTCTTTCTCTCCACACCTCATCCTGAACTTCCCCCCCTACCCCCAACAAAGGCCTTCTCCTGGCACTTTAATTGGCCCACACTTCTCCCTCAGCCCCTTTTCCTTTCCTCAGCCGCCATCATTGTTAATCGCTCTCTCCAGTAAGTATTGGCCCCAACCTGCTTTCTCCCCATCCCCCAACTGATTATTCCAAAACATATAAAATAGGGAAGTAGTTGAATTGAACTGTCAACTAGAATGTTCTTATCCTGCCAGAGAAAGAATGAGGGTGTGAATACTAATACGCAGTTTGTGATTTTTGTCCCTATTATATGCATACATTTGCAATCAATATGTCTTTGAGGTCAAAATATAGCCAGATCATGGTAAGGGGTTCAAAACACTATAGTAACAGCTACACATCAAGACGGAAAGAAATCTACATTGCCAAAAAAGAGAATTTGATTACTCAGCTGTTAACCATCCCCATGGGGGTGTTTAACATGGGGGTGGTTTCCTTAAGAAAGGTGCCATTGTGAG